ATATGTTGTAGAATCTTCACATAGGTTTAGCTCAGAAGGCTCTAGACGGTCAATCTTCAGCACTCTCCAATACGTCCTACTTTTGTCCCTTCCTATCATGTAAAAGTTCTGTGACATGAAAATAAACAAACACACAAGGTAAAAATACTTCACAAAATAAATACTGCATTTTTAGAGACAGTCCAATCTTGCAACATGATATTGCACAAAAGGTTCACCCAACTTAATATGCACTAAAGATATTGGCATTATGATTCACGCTGCAAACAGTCTAGAGCATGAACTTGAGCTGGTGGAACGCCAGATTCATGGAAGGGAAAACTCAACGAAGGTGCAAATAAACTAGGAAGGAAGCATCCAGAGTGGCATTCCACATGCAAAGAGACAGAATGTCCATGCAGCAACATTCGGAGAAGAGAGAGCCATTTAATTAAAATTCCAGTGGGGAAGCTTTTAAAGTTCAATCAAAACATGAAATAGGATCATGAAGGTGAGTAGTTCTGCCTTCTTTGCCAAACTAAATTTTATACTACCCCATCCATAATATAAGGTGAAGTTTGAAAGCTTTTTAGTTTCTTAATATAAGGCAAATTTAGAGTAATTAATGCTTTTTTCCAATTTTATCCCTTGTTTATTTATTGTCAATTGAATTCCCAAGCAACAATTTATTATGGTTATCAATTGCAAATAAAGGTGAATTGGAAAGTTACATATTTTTTAACAATTTTAAGGATATAACTAGCATTTCTTAATAATCATGGAGCTAGCTAACTTCGCCTTATATTAAAAGAATAGGAGTAAAGTATAGTAGTAAAAAAAATGATTGTAGGGAAATACAAGGAGTCACCAGTTAGTCTCATGATTTTTCTAGAGAAACCCAACACTGCAAGTTGAGTCATTTATGATATGCGTGAGTGCGGAGTAGCAAGGAGAATAAATACACTGGCATGTTTAAGATCCACGAAAACATATTTCATCATTAAATATGCTTATATAAGCAACATAAAAGGTACGTTGATCATATGATCTGCAGGCAGGATTACCATAGTCCGACATTTGGTCAGATACAGGAGACAACAATGGCATATTTTTCCAAGGTACAAAGGGAATGTATTTATATATGAAAGTTATAAAATGAACAATGTTGTGAAATTATTTTGCAGGAAAACATAAAACAACACAATGTTTTCAGATGAAATAATGGTCATGACAAATAGATCTCCCTTAAAATTGCAGCATCTCCCTTAAAATTGCAGCAGAAAAACCTATAACTTAAGTTATCAAAAAATGGAAGAAGACAAAGAAAAGAAGGCATACCGATCGAGTCTCATAGAGCCTAAATTTCTGCATACAGGCATTTGCAGGAGGATGGAGCTCGTCTGCCCCGGAAGGAAAGTGAGAAGGCTGATTCTCTGACGAACCCATGACTTTTTTTATTTCTATTTTTTCCCCAATTCAAAACTCAGATCCCCGAGCCTCAGGCTCAGGGAAAATATCAAAACGGCATGCAAAGCTAAGCAATTACAAAATTCAGAATCACATAATTTGAGCCATAATGCCCACAACCCAAATGTAAAATCATATCTTGAACTGTAGGCTGCTTCAAATACAGCATTATCTTCCAAAATATGTTAAAATCATCGAGCTCCCTTTATCACAACTCCTCCTCCTCCCCCTCCTTGTCCTACCAGGACCACCACCACCCCCTTCTGCTGTTTGTGGCTGTGGCAGCTATTTGCTTTAACCTACCCCCCACTGATCCTCACTCAAACTCAGCGCGAATCCTAATAAACAGATCGAATAATTTTCAGTTCAATTCAACAAGAGAAACTGCAAATTGCCGGTAATATTTTGGACGTGCAATGGTAGGCTCACAGAGACGAAAACCGGTGGAGGATTTCAAAATGAAAGCTTTACATGTGGGATTGAACGAGGTACGAGGGAAAGATCAACCAAGGGAAACCAAAGAGAAGATTTGGGAGGAATGGCAGTGGGTGAAGCAACGGAGACAGGAAGAAGAGCAGCTAATAATTGATTCATTTCTATCTTTATTGCAATGTACAAGTTTTCTAAATTTTTCTCAACGAACGAGAAGCCCAGATCCAAATATCTTTCTTATTAATCAAATCAAAACCACAACTTCGCATCTACACATTTTAAAAAAACGAAAATAAATTTACAAATACATGTCTCTAACAGTCTAACTCTTAACATGTGAAATTATTTATTACCTAGCTTGCTTTGCAAACATGGTAAAGAAAAATTATGTAACAATAATTAGGTTAGATTTTTTTACATTGTTGTACTATTTTATTTATTTAAATAATTAAATAATAGTAATAACTAATAATTCTACGACCGACGTAAACGCGAAAGGTGTCACCCATAACCTGTCACGAACGCTTCTCGAAAGGGAAGAAGCGAGATCTCCCAGCTTGCAGACGATTATAAAACTACTTATTTTGAGTATAAAAAATAAATTTTCGTCCAGTACACACACACACACACACACACACACCTCTCATACATGAGTACATACGTGTGAAAAGCTGTGTGTTTAATTATCCTGACCGAGGACGGCAATAATAATATGAAGATGTTCTTATCAATTATCTTCTTCAACCTTTTTTGTCAGGATTAGGATTTTTTTGCCATGATATCTACTAGCATTTTAAAAGTGATTTCAAGCGTAATGATATTTTATTTTGCTCCTATCAAAAGAATACATATTTATTTTGCATAGATCAGTCGATTTTCAAACCCAACTGTCTGGAGGCCAAACTCGACCAAATCATTGCTGATTTCCGCACCTTGTTATGTTATTGTTGATTTTCTGCTTAGTTGTGCACTCATAATATGCAATTTGATCGTAATAAATGATACAACTAATTATAGTTGCATTTTTTAAAGCTAGTTAGTCTGTTGGAACCTGTGCATAAAATAAGGGTACTTTCTAACATGTTACTTTTAACTAACTAAAACCAGTGTGAGCTAGTTATTGAAATAATAAAATTGTCTTAAAAATAATTCACTTTTTAATATTGTCCTTAAATTTTAAAAAAAAAATGATGATTTGATATGTCAAAAGAGCCTTTTTTGAAATTGAAATATCACACTTTTTTTAAGAATTTGTTTAAAGGTATTTTCAGAATTGTGGATCAAATATTACGAAAAACAAGAGAAAGTTACTTATACAAAGTACCAAAAAAACATTACAGAATGGAGGGTATTTTCTTAATACTTGACAAAAATTATACATCATTGAGGGTTGGATTTAATGAAAGAAGTTAGTTTCTCATGATATGTCAAAATAAAGTTTGAATCTTATTAGAAAATATGCCCACATCAAAGCATGCTATAATACTTGCTCCCTCAATTAAAAAAATACAAGGCATTTTTTTAAGATAAGATAGTAAAAAAAAATAAGGCATTTTAGGTTTTTGAAAATGCAATTACATAAGTTATTGAGTGCAATTAATAAGGATGTCTAATTAAAGCACTATAATAAATAGAGATAAATATGAAAATGGTGTATGATTTTAAAAATAATTGACTGATATGTTGAAATATAATTTGGTTGAAAGTATTTATAACACAGAATAGATAGAGTGTTTCAGTTTTAAAACTATAGAGTTCAGTGAGAAATACTTCATAACCAATATTTAAATTCTCGTCAAAAGAGGTGTTCATATTTAATATTCAACTATATTTCAAAACATAATTATGATTTATTTCTAATAGAATGATACTTATGTCTTAAACTTGTTGGCTACGCTCGAATTTATCTTGCCATGTGAAGGTAGGCATGACTCTTAGTAAATAATTGAAGGATAGAAAAGTAAATCAATCCTTAAATTATATTTAAGCATCCAAGATTCTAAATAATTTATTGGTGTAATTTTTTTCTTTTGAAAGCGTTTAATATAGCCCATGCCGTTAAGAAAAATTAAACTTCAACTATTAGTTAATAAAAAATAATCTAAAAAATTACAAAAAGGACCAAAAAATTACATACAAAGATTCAAAAATATACAAAGGGACTGATAAATTTAATTTATTGGACTTTGTCTGCATTTTTTGATGTTATTTTTTAGTTAATTAATGAATAAAATTAACTTTTGTTAATAATAAAGATTAGATATTGTGCAGAAAATAAGTTTAAGACCAGGTCCTAAACGTTCATAAACTTATAAATTAGAAGTTAATTTACTATTTTATGCACAATTTAAACATTTAATAATATTCGGAAGCCGCAAAATAAAAGAAGGGCAGGATGCTTCGTGGGCTGCCCAAGAACAAAATTAGACTGTGTGTATGCTTTATATTTTACATTGATATATATATATATATATATAATAAGTCTCCTATAAAACATTGATTCTTCAAGCAGATGGATCTAATCCTCCTGTCCCTCTGTTAATTTCAATTAAAATGTGCTATTTACTATTCAATTTCATCTTTTTTAATGTTAATCAGAACAATATTAACAATTTAATTGTTTAACTGCAGTGATTAAGCAAATAGTATTTGCTTTTTCGTTGATTAGAAATAACATTAGCATTGAACCTAAAAAAAAATAACATTAACATCTTATCTAGTATATTCATAAATAACAATTTTTATTTTTTAAATTTTCAGCTAAGAATTGTAAACTTTGTTTTAACCCGTCACAGCCCTCAATTGATAATTTTAATACCATTTAAGAAAAATCAACATGGACATTAAATATTAAAGTTAGTTCAAGTGGTAAAAGATTATTACTTTCCATATCTGTTTTTAAGGATAACCGATATAAAAAATATTTTTTACATTAGTTAAATAATTGAAAGCAAAGTCAACTTACTACATTTATTTGTTTTATATCTTTTCCCTTTTTAATGTAAAAAGTTCTTTGAAACTGATGTAATTTTTTTTCCCCAGTAGTGTAAGGGGTAGGGAGATTCATATCCTCTGAATGTATTTAAAAATATTTGAGTTAGTAAGCTGAAGTTCTTGAATTGGAAAAGTGTCATATACAAAAAGTATTGCAAGATTGAAAATTATTTAGTCCAAAGGACAGAAGTGACGGACGCGTGTATAGAGCTTGTAAGCACAACACACAGCCCAAACTCTATTCAATTGGGACATAGATCAAAGCTTTATTTGAGAGTGCAGAGACATTGGTTGATCGAAGAGACCAAATAAAATGCGAGAAAGTGTATATAATATGATTATTACTACGCGAAGATGCATGAGTCAGAAGTCAAATTGGTGTTGTGGAGCTTGATCGACGACATCAGCAATGGTGCGTTTAGTATTGGCGGTGAAGAGGTGGTGTAAGTTAAAGGGTGCGACGGAGGAAGGAGGGCCGTTCCAGAAAGTGAGGGCGAATTGGTGGTGAATGATCTGTGTTGGGTGGAATGAATCCCACCACACATGGTCGTTGACGTTGTCGCATAAGTTGTACTCTATCGTTTTCTTTGTCCCCCCACAACTGAAGATGCCCCCGTAGGGTCCACTTCCACAGCATGCCTTCTCTCCTTCCTTGAATCCTTCACCCAAACAAAAACGCATGTTTTCAGATTCACAATAGACAAAATCATGACTCGAGAGTTATTACGAGTGAACCCCTTCACATTTAAATCTGTTCCAATTCCTTTAACAAGAATATATACCCTAATACATGATTTGTGCTACGTGGCCAATGGATATACAGATTAAATCAATCGATGTACAAAATAGTAGACATATATGATATTTAAAAAAGTGATTTCATTTTTTCATCATTAATTTTTTCCCTATAATAAACATAATCTTGGAGACAAAAATGTCCTTTTTTAGAATCCTGTGATCAAAATTTTAATTTTCTTCGCACACATTGCATTGTTGGTGCTGATGTTTTGTGTCAGAAAAAGACTTACAAAATGCGTGCTTAATATTCTAGAATTCTGTGGCCAAGAAAAAAAAAAGAAAAGAAAAATAGAATTCAATGCACAGCTGTACATGACGGTGTCATTGGATATGGCAGAGGATAGAGGATAGAATAAGTCAACATATTATTGGAAAGTATGAAGCATGGAAAATCAGGTCATTTATTTCAGGCATAAGTGTAAATTGTTGTGGATATTTTATGATTAATTAAAGTGAACATCGTAATATCTTATTATTAACATTCCGTGTCATTTTGGCAAGGAACTGATCATTGAATTGATCAATGTGTTAATTCAAGAGTAATTAAAATTGCGATTAAATTGTGGTTTAATTGGTTATAAATAAAGTATTGCATTGAATCAATTAATACCCTAATTTAGTTAACTATCCATCAGTTTAATCAATCAAGTTGACTCAATTTTGAATATTATACATTTTATAACACATATAGCACATGATGTGGAAGAGAATTGTATATATTAATATGATTGAGAATGGACATACCGTAAGCAGAGGGATTGTGTATACGGTCATGAAGCCAGTCATAGAAATTGGAATTAGAGTAAGTGAAGCCCTGGAGGGCAAGTTGAAGGCTTGAGAGAATAGAAGAGAGGGCATGATTGTGGGCGAGCGCAAGAGCAGACGCTGCTTCCAAACACCCACCTTCAGTACTTAGAGCTCTCAGGGCAGGCAAACAACCCAAAGGGCCCAAACTTAAAAACCCGAACTTCCTACCTCCTTTCTCATACAGTCTCTGTGTGCCAAAACAATCATAGTCATTAACTAATAATTAAGGTTCCCTTTAGTCTTATAAAAAATGAGAATAGAATGAATTTAAATTAACCTTTTCTTTCATCATAAATATGATAAAATTTAATATTATATATCATAAATATAAGAATCATCACATTCTATAAAAATCTCATAAATAATAACTTTTAACTTCATGAATTAAATTGTCATTATCCATTATGAATATAATTCACTTATCACATTCACATTTTAATCATTTTATTTTTACTTTTATAATTTCAATATATTCCATTCCCTTTCCCTTCGAGCGACTGCCTAAATTGTACATAACTAGTAATGAAAAAAACTATGATAGAATGAAAAGGTTGAATAACGTACTTTAAATGGCATAAGGCAAATCAATTTTGGGCAAAACATCTTATATAAAAATTGGATCAAATTCTTTTGCGTGAACCAAAAATGGCCCTAGTGACGATAGACGGAGTAGTAAACCACATGTCTACAAGACCCAAAGGGCAGGCGAGGGTTTTTATTCTGCTGCAGAGAAGTCAGACGTTTATTGTATCAATGTTGTTATATTATTCAATAACAAGTTAATCAATAAATAGTATCATAAATTTTTATTTAAAAATTATTTTAAACCCTGAATTCTTAAAATATTTAAAATAAACTTAAAATTTTTAAACTTGTAGTAAAATAAATCTTGACCACTGACTTTTTTAATATTATTATTGTCAACGCGGGTATTGTAATGGTCAAAATTAAATTTATAGAAAAATAAATCCTAAATAGTATCTACATGAATAGCAATAGTGTTAAAAAGTTAGCGATCAAGGTTTATTTTACTATGAATTTAAAAGTTTAGGGCTTATTTTATATATTTTAAGAGTTCAGGATTTAAGGTGATTTTTGAGCAATAATTCAAGATCCTATTCACTCATTAATCCTTTAATAATTATAATTCTTCTTTTGTATCTGTGGGGCGGCAACAAAAAAGTTGCATTCACTTTCTTTTCTTTTCTTTAGTTTTTAAAAAATAAATTAGATCTTGTAGTTTTAATTCAGTGAAAATTCAATATTAAAATTTTGACTTAATGCAATCAAGTTTCTATGATTCTAACTCAATTAAAATTTAATTTTAGAATTATGACTTGATACTACAAAGTGGCTACATATAAAAAGATAAAATTTTCAAAACTAAAATTATTTTTTAAAACTAAGAGACTAATATTTTAAATGATTAAAATTACAGAAGCACTAAATTAAAATTAAGGGAATGAGTTTTAATTGAGTTGAGAGTTTAAAAATTGAGTTATAAATGTAAGTATTGTTATTTTTTATTTTTTTTTTTCGTCCTATCCAATTCGTGGGCAAAACCAATTCTAAAATTGATTTGGTCGTTTAGTTTACAATAATGAATCTAATTTATGGGCTTACTTGGACTATCTGGGTCAAGTTGCCAACGACCATGCCAACGTACTGCTCAGGAGTGAATCTTTTCTGCATCTTTGGATTGCCCAGATAACCGCCCATATAATCGTTGCTCCCAATGCTAATGAAATAAACCGCTTCTTCTACTATTTCTTTCGCCCTCTCCTCTCCCACCGTCTCCACCAATCCCTTCCTTACTTCTTCAAAGTTTTTCACTTGTGTTTGAAGATCAATCACCTGATTATAAACTCACAATCTAATCTATAAATAATTAAGAACCATATATATATATATATTACAAACAGTGTGTATATACTCCAAAATTACCAGCCCTTGATTGGTTTCTGGCAGAACACCGGCCCCTCCAGAAGCAAAGTTGACACCGTTGGTATGATCAGCAGATCGTTGTAAAAATGGAGGAATCAATGGCAGATTGGCATATTCAGCTGTACGCATATCAGCAATCAGTACAAATTTAGCTAAATAAGCATCCATCGATTAAACTTAAATTTGAAGACAAATCTAATTCGTCTCTTGTTAACTGTTTCGTTCATTTGATTGTTTACTTGACGAGGACTTGATCATAAATTGGACTGACCAGTTGCGACGATGAATGAAGCATATTAAAAGAATGAATGATGGATGTGGTAGGTACCGATAAAATCCACAATAATGCGGCCATCAGAGAATCTTCCAGTAGGTCGTTCAAAGAATCCGTTCTGCCCGTATGGTTCGTAATCTGCTCTGTTCTCTGGGCTTGTTTCTATGTAATTATTATTGCCAGAATCCACAGTGGAATCTCCGAAAATGAAGAAGGCGCTACTTCCTGCAGTCTCGTGTGAGACTGTGTCCTCGCTATGTGAGGGCCTGAAACTGAAACAAGCAATTAAGGTCGTGCACAGAACAATGCGATTCAGATAAAAGCTTAGATTTGCCATTGATTTCTCGAGCTAGCTCATCAATCTAGTTGTATCAATCACTGATCATCTCTCTTATGGCAATGGCTTTTTCTCTGACGATGCCACCAATGTAAGGTGGTCCAGCTGGCAATTATATTTGGGCATACAGCTCACATGAGGCGCTGTTTTTTTTTTTTTTTTAAAAAAGGTTCGATTATTTTTATCTCTTAATTGTATGTAAAAGATTATAAATATTTTTAAATTTAATTATGAATTAATTATGTTTCATTATTTTAAAAATTCCTTCCACCATCACTTTAATGATAAAAATACTTAATGTCTATTAATTATTAATTAGTTCCACTAATAAAGACCAAATTGATAACTAAAAAAATTTTACTCATTTTTTGTAATTGTTAACACCTTTTTTCTATTATTTCTTGATTAACTAACAATTAAAATTAATTTTTGTTAATAGTAGGTGTTAGATTGCACCATTTTAAAAATTGAAAAAATGATATGTATAATAAATAAATTAAGGGTTTATAATGTTATCGGACCTAAAATTTAAAAAATAATTTATTTATTTTCTTTTATTTTTTTTACATGGATGAAATGTAAATTTGCAATATTTTTTTACTCATATTTTGCGAACTTGTGATCGATTATATATTTATATCATTGGCATCAACAATGGCGACGTTTTATATTGGCTTGGTGGATACCGACGTTTTATCACTGGAACATCATTTTGTGATTGTCGATGTGTGTATGGGTTTGTGCTATGCAAGGTATCAATTAAGGTAAATCATTCACGGTAGCATACTTTAAAAAAAAAATACATGTTTTTTCCGCGTAGAAATTTTGTTTGGTTAATCACACTTCTGGAATGGTCCTCTCATAAATAAGAAAAGCAAGACAACAGTAATCCAATACTAAGCTCAGGTCAGATAATAGTGGAAAATAAATGGCCAAAGAGAACGAGAGAAATATTTTAGAGAGAAGTTGATAAAAAAAATCATTCCACACCCCTGCCTTGCGCTAGCCAAGTAGCCATGATTACATAACCATTTACTCCCCAGACTTGCATGATTTCTGACGTGTTTCGGTGCTCTCGCGCGCATTTTCTTCAGAGCTTGCCTCCTTCTTGTATTTTTCTGTCATGTCATGTTGCGTTTGCCGTCGTGCTGTGCAAATACAAGGTACGTAAAACCGGACCGGTCATTAAACCGGTCATGGCACTGGGTCACGGGTTAGTGGTTCAATCAGGGTTGAACCGGGGGTTGAACCGGTGGCAAACCGGTCATGATTAAAATAATACAATTTAAATAAAAAGACATTAATTATAAAAACATTCAACCAAATCCAACCACTCAAAAGTCTAACAATAATAAAATACTATATTTTTGGACTTAGCATACTCTATCTCTAATTTTTTATTTTTTGACTTTAATTTTACTTTTTTTTGTTATTTTTTTCCGAACTCAGAGCTGTGAAAAATTAAAAATGAAAAAAAAAAATCAAAACGACGTCGTTTTGGGGTAAAAGTCTGAAAAAATATTAACCCGGTTAACCCAGTCAACCCACCGGGTTATCCGGGTTATACCGGGTTGAACCCGGGTTGACCGGGTTACACCGGTTCACTCCTTCACCGGGTTAAGTGCAAACCCAGACCGGACAGGGGACCGGTTCACCGGTTTCCGGGTTGACCCGGCCGGTCCGGTCCGGTTTTCAATACTATGCAAATAACATAACGAGAAAGTATCATTTTTTTAATAATTTATTTAAAAATAACGATCAATAAAAAATTAAATAAATTCAATTAAATTGAATTAAAATATAGCTAGGTAAAAATGATTTGCAAAATAAATTAACATTAAAAAATAAAGAAAAGCAAATTATTCACAAACTTCAAACATAAAATGCAACCTATGATTATTTATCCCTATTACATTTCATAATATTAAAATTATCTTCTTTTATAAATGCTTTTAATAAAAACAAGTGCTAACTTAGAGTTCTAACAATATTTGAACAAACTTTTTTAAGTTATAAATAAGTATTTAGTTAAATTAATTGTTTAATCTCTTATTATAATTAATAAAACTAATTTTAAACACCAGCACTTATGTGACTATACAAGGTTAGCAAGTATATTCCCATCTCACCAACAAAACCATCCATTCAATAAGTAAAATTCAAGTTCTTGCACTATTTTACTCAATTTTTACATTAAACTTGGCTCTCTCAAGTATCAATTAAGTAAATACAACATCTAAATAGTAGCCAAACCACTTGAAAACATTAAGAAAAGAATAATATATATATATATATATATATAATCATAAAAGAAAGGAGGAACTTAACGTTGATCCATACAAGAGTTTCAAATAATCTTAAAACAAAGAGTTTAGCTATTCACAATAATCCACAAGTTATAAATACACAAAATCTTTGAACCCATTTTAGATTATAAGAGAGAAAGGGAAAATGAATAGAAAAACAAAAAAAAAAACGAGCTTCAAATGTCTTTAAAACTTCATTCCCTTGCTCCAAGTTCTTCTAATGCCTAAACCTTAGCATAACCAAGCTCTGAATGTGTCTTAAAGTGAGTAAAATGCGTTATGGGTTGAGCTTTCAGCATATATGCATTTTATCCAAATATTTCCAGATAAATAAATTTGAGTATTTTCCTGACAGTAGTGAAAGTCATGACTTTGACAATTTTACATTATTTTTGTTGTTAACGCAGCCTAGCCTTTATGCACTTGATTTCTTCATCAAAAAGCTTTCCAAAAGTATCAACAAAAGTTCATAAATGCAACTAATCAAATATTAAACCAAAATAACACAAATTTAGCTCAAAATATCAAATTAAAGTGAAGTACGCAAAGCCAAAATAAAATGCATATTTTCCTAATGTGGGTAGTTAAATATACATAATTAAACTAAAATAGATTAGAATATAAGAGACATATGATGAAATGACATGGAATTCTAGATGTTAACATTGATTCACTAATGTTTGGTGATACCATAACATTACCCTCCATATCAAAATTAACCTCCTCCTCAAGGTTAAGGTTAGGAAAGTGCTCCTATAAACAAGAAACATTCTCCTAAGTAGCAAGACTAGTGGCTTCCCATTGAACTAGTGCTTATGGAGTTCGAGTATCTTAGGACTTGATGTTCCTCACATCGAGTATCTTTTTAGGTTAAAGTATTGGACTAGCATAAGTGATAACTAGTAGAATTGGGAGTATATATTGGGAAGAAGGCTGTCCACTACATCTTTTAAGCAATGACACATGAAATACAAGGTGAGTTTGATCTTCAATGAGGAGGGGCAATTTATAAACTATTGAACTGATCTTTCTAACAATCTTGAAAGGACCAAAATATTGCATGTCAATTTTTTATTCTTTTATGGCTTAAGATAGTATTGGCAATAAGGTGGCAACTTAACAAAAACATGATCTCCCGTAGTATAGTGCACTTCCTTATCCTTAGAACTAGCAAAACGCTTCATCCGATCTTGCGCTTTATTCAAATGCTACTTAAGTTGAGCTAGAACATAATCTTATTATTGTATCTATGCACGCAGCTCAAATGGAATAAGGTCAGTAACAAAGCATTTAATAATTGACAGTGGATCCTACCTATATACCACCTTAAATGGAGGCATACCAATGGCTGTTTGAAAAGTAATATTATACTAATACTCAGCCCAAGAAAGAAATTCAACCCATTGATTAGGACATTCATGATAAAAACACTGAATGTGCATTTCTAAACACTTATTAAGAGCTTTTAATTATTCGTGGGCTTTTGGGTGGCAAGTAAAGCTTATGTTCAAACTAGTTCATTAAGAATTGAATAAATGTTGTAAAAAATAACCAATAAAGACTTTATCTCTATCAAAGACAATAGAGCAAGGTACGAAATATAGTTTCACAACTATTTATATAAATAAATTAGCCATTCGAGATGCAATAAAACTGGATTTTAAAGGAGCAAAATGCCCATGCTTAAAAAAATGATCCACTGTAACAAATATGATAGCTTGCCCTTTCAACGTAAGCAACTCATTTACAAAAGCTATAGCAATATCTTTCCAATCTTGATCAGGGATGGGTAAAGGACTTAGAAGCCCAACAAGATAAGTTCGGGCAAACTTTGCTGAATAAAATAGTATCACCCTAAAAAGACATTTAGTATAATGCTGAATAAAAGACATTTTCTAAGCTAGTGAAATGTGTGAAATTTTTTCTCAACTTTTAAATTCACTGCATCTCAAACTCCACCATTAAATAGTAGAAAATGGCCATTACTTTTTAAGTTGTGGTGTATCACCCTAAATTTTAAAACTTTTTTTTTTGCAAATTAATTGTTTGGATAAACTATTTTATAAATTTTAAACTCTTATTATGATAGAAAGATTCAAGCATCATAAATTTATTTTACCATAGTAATTAAGAAAAGTAATTATTAAATACTTCAAGAGTACACCTCTATTATAATTCAAAGTCATAGTCAAATGAGCAACACTTCACAAGCCATACTTGTACTATGGATACCCGACTTGGGCCCCAAGTTATACTTTTTTAGACACCAGTTATCACCAAAAACTACCAAATAGGGGCATGCTTAATTGAAATTTTACTTTATAAATACTCAAGGCCATGAGAGACAGATAGAGTTCTTTCGACATATAAAGTACAATAATAAATAGAGTCTACATGCTCAATATATGTATGCGTGTGCGTGTGTGTGTGTCCATTTTAGGTTAGCATAATATACATCATTAATGAAAATAAAAAGACTAAATTAGAAAACGGTACCTCATACACTGAATTATGCTTCAATTACTTCTCCGACTATACTCACTTATGAAAAAATTAATAACCACAGGAAATGAGACTTAAAAGTCTCGATAATCAAATATTAATATGTAATGATATATATGAGGCAGTTAATCATGTGATTGCTATGTGGGCAGAAAAAAACAATCTAAACAATTATTGAATTAGCTTGTCTACACCTTGTATCCCTCCTTACACCATGCTTAGATGTCAAGTCACCAAGTTAAAGGTGAGTTAGACTAAG